AACCCAACCATTCATTTCATTTTAAAAGGCGGGTTTAAGGGATTTGTAAAAGATATGAGAATAAAAGTTGGGGTTTGAGGAATCGCTTATTTCATAATTGTTGAGTTTACTTCCATTTTAAGTGAGAGCGTTTGGTGAAGAGACTCGAAGGTCGATTCCACCAGAAGACGACGGCGTTTTCCTCTTGACCAGCTGTCGATTGGCTTTCTGGAACATTCATGTTGACAGTGTTTCCGAAGTAATCTCCTTCGATTCTGGTGAAAAGGTGCCAAGCTTTCGTCCGTCATATGACAGACATCATCAGCGCACGGTAACATCGTCACAACAAAATTCAAGCTAACGAGTCAAGAAAATTCACCGGCAAATTCCTAAAAAGCGGTATATATACTCTACATCTGGCCTCTTTTTATCAAGTGATTTGGTTAGTTAAGGTCATATCTCAACTTCGATGCCTGTGAGTGTGTCTGTCCCTGTATGTGTATGTGCCTGTTCGTGTTCGCTTATGCACGAAACCCTAGCCCGACACAGAAGAGACCTTTAAAACCAATAAAGAGAAGAACTGGAAATAAGAAGTTATACAGGAACTAATTGTGTCTGATTTACAGACATTATTTCGTTCTGATACTACTCATAGGTCTGATAGACATTAGCATAGAAGTTGTGTTAAGCTACCCGAGTGAAGCAAACTTTGTTTTACATTAAACTATAAATAAATGAATTAGACTGACGTCCTGTATTATGCAATCAAAATGATGCGTCACCTATTAATAGTCTATCTCGCTAATACGGTCAGTTTATATACGAAGAGTTGCTGTGCTTTGAAGAACTTTTTGGGATAATATTACTGTGGTGACATTCATTTTGTATGAAAGGGCAAGATGAAAACGATGGTTGGGCAACAAAGGGTATCAGCCATTGATATACGAATCTATTCCTCTTGCACTTGTATGCGAAATTAAAGTCTTCACTATATGGTTAGTTTAGTTATATACTAGTGAGAGGTATCTCCTAACACCATAACTACACTATAATCGCCTCTCAGCTTCACTCAACTGACGCATCAACCAATCAAATCTCGCTGGCCGTACCAAGCTTACTTTTTGAAACATCAAACTTTGATCTATCCCCCCAATCAGAAGCCAACACTTCCACCTCGTCAAGAACTAAACTGGAAGAGTTTGTTCAACTTTGTTGTTTCGTTGCCTCATGGTCCCCTCGACTTCTACTAATGCGTGCCACCATTACGCACCATCTGCTTCGCGAAGCTGGAATAGCCAGTGGAAGGTACTGACGCTCCTGACGACCACAACCGAGACGTCCTCATGGTAACGGTGTTGTAATGTCAACCGAGCCAGCCTCTCCCCACAGGTCATTTATGTGCTGCTTCTAGGCTCCGCCACTTTTAGGTAGACTGCATCTGCGTCTACGTCGGGCTCTGCTGGATCTGGGCGTAAGAATGATCGCTTTGTGCCAAGCAAAATGCTCACAAGAACGAGCGGTTGAGGCCACGTCTACATGACCACTCTCAATCATAAGAAGCAAAGTGAATTTGTCGCAAAAATGACTCCCCATCAACGTCGTCTATCCACGTTGCGTCCCTGCAGCCTCCCATCTTGGCGGCTCTGGCAGTTGCCTATACCATCACTCCAGAAAACCATCTCCGTTATGCCCTAAATGTGAAGAGTAACTGGGTTTCGATGACTCTCCTGAGATAGCATCATTGTTGGGACTTTCATTTCGTATGAAAGTGTGTGAAGAAGAGATACGAAGGTCAATCTCACCAGAAGAGGACGGTTGAATCCCGTTGTAGTGCAGCCGTTTGGCTTTTATACGATGTTGAGATTGATGGCGTACACGAGAACTCTTCTCTCTTTTCAGGTGAAAACTGGCTGAGCTTTCGTCTATCAAATGATGGACATCAACAGAGCTGTGACTCATTCTTGTAAATTTCTCAAGTTAACTTGAGTCAACGTCGTATAAAAGCTAAACGGCTGCAGTACCACGTGATTCAACCGTTCTATTCTTGTGAGATTGACCTTCGAATCACTTCTTCATACACTTTCATCCAGCTCTCCTTTCCTCGCAATCCTGCTGCTCATCACCTTTATCAAAAACATATAAAAACTTCGGCTATATTACAAAAAATTAGCTTCATAAACCTTCCGATCTTTAAACAGATTCAAAATCATTCTATCTCGCCTGTTATCGCTCATATCGCTATCATTACAGGTCCCTGGGTACCATTCGTCTAAAAAGAATTTACTTGTTTATCATCGAAGGTATGAAGACCAATATGGTGTAGCCTTTTGTGTTGTTGCAGTCGCCTTTCGTTGTATAGAAGTTGCTTGACCTTGTTTTTTCGCAACTTGGTCAAATTGGTAGGAAGACTTAGAGTAACGCACCTAGTCCGGAGTCCATTTTTAA